GTCCATGCCCCTGACTGGACAGAGTGGGAGGTCCCAGAGTCCTCCCTTGTCCTGGAGGTGGACCATGGTCTACCCTCCGGCTCCCAGGGGAGAAGGGCCTGATAGTAGGAGTTGATCTCCTGCTTGCAGTCCCTGATGGCGCACAGTCTCTGGACTGCAGCCTGGAGCTCCTCCAGCTGGCGTGCCAGAGACCCCAAAAGGGAGCAGACCCCACACAGGGAGGTGGCCATGCTCCCTGCTGCCAGAGCCTGAAAAAGGGACAGGCAGCCCGCGCAGCCGAGAGCCAGGGGCTCCGTCTGCATGGAGCCGGGGACCATGGCCTCCTTCTGGGTGGCCATCTCTGAGGTGCCGGGGTGGGGGGGGCCGCAGAGCCCGAGGGGACCCTCGGGGTGCAACGCGTGCCCATCCATGTCATGCCACTGGTAGGCTGGCTACGGCTGGGACTGTCTACTCTGGGGGGTTCGCAGGCAGGGTCTTGGGCCCTCCCGCGCGCCCTCCTGCGTGAACTCTGCACTAACTCATGCGCCAGCAGGCAAGCCTGCCTGTTTGCACAGCCTGCTCGCACAGCTCTGGTCGCGTGGCTCCCTGGGGGGCTGGGCCAAGTAGGGGCCTGGGTGGGGCTTGACCCAGCCTGGCTCCACTCAGCTGCCTCCTCCCACTCAGTGAGGGGTTAACCCCCTCCCACCACGGGCCCCGCTTGCCTCTGGCTGTGCTAGGGGTTGGCGGGGGGCTCCGCGGCTGCTGGGGGCTCTCTGAGGGGCTTCAGGGGAGTGGGGGGTGCAGCGGGCTTTCACCCGTGCATCTCTCGCCGCTCTGGAGCCTAACTGAGTGCCTAACTTTCTTGAGTGCTGTAAGTTTATCAGTGAGGGTATCACACTTAAAAAAGGAGTTGGCTCTGCAAGTACTTGTAATAAAAACAGTATCCAAAAATCCGGTACTAGTTAATCAACAGGGAAACTTAATGCAACACTAACGTAGTGGATTCTAGTGTTTGTAGGAAGATGCTTTAGTTTTAGTCACCTGGGCCTTCAAACCAGGTCTTCTTTAACCTTCTTTCATCCCACTGAAATTTAGCAGGGATCTTAGGTAAAGCTTCTTTAGTCTTTCTTTAGAGTTTAGCCATTTAGTGATAGCATCACATCTAACTTTTCGTGGCTTATGTTGGCAAATGTTCTGAACTCCCTGTGAACCAAAACCTGGGAAAATGCTTTCATGATTGTGACAAAAAGCCATCCAGTGTCACGTAGGTCCATTATGATAGTGAAAGGATTCCTTTAGGAAGAGTTGATTGTGTGTGAAACAGTCACATGGGTCTCAAATCCAGATTGTTCCATAAGACCTGCTGATAATGAAGATCCTTTCAGGAAAGGCTGGATCTCTGGGTCTTTTCCTGCTCCCATTGAATAAGAAAGCTCCCTTTGTCCTTCATGGGAAGAGAATATTTTAACGTTACAACACAGTCTATTCTATTTTGCATTGTAGAAGGCATTGGATGAAGGTTACCATGGGGCTAGGTCTGATGGCTTTGCATATATAGGTTATCATTCTCACCCCCAAACTATGGATGAATTGATATTGGTGCTTGCGGCCCTCAGTCAAAACTTAATGCTATTGTGTGGTTTCCTGGACTAAAGAGAAATGCAGAATCTGGTTTGCATTGTTGTGAAGGCAAATTAGTCTACTGTAATAAAATCCGCTCAGCTCTAGAGTTTTACAGCAGCTATGGTGGTGCCACAGTAGAACCACAGTTGTGGTATCATGATGCCAGGGGTGGGTACCCTCTACTGGCTATTGCACCTGGGTGACAGTGCCAGATCACAGAGAACAAAGGCCTGGGATTAGTGAAGGGAGTGACTCACGGAGCTTCCTTATTGACACTGCTGCTTGTGTACCTGTTCCCACAGACTTACCATGTGAGATCACAGAGGGAGAGGCCACACAGTGAAAATGCCCAGCTGCCCTGGCATAATGGAAGCGAGAGACATGATCGGTAAGACCTGGCATGGGGGAGCAAGAGAGAAATGGCACATTAAAGATGCCTTTTGTACTGTGTTTGGATTTCTTATAGTGCCTCTTAGTCTTGCCATATTGGAGCATGATTCTGGTCAGTCTAAGGATAATGACGGGCAGTGGCATGGAGGGAAGTTGCAAGTATTTGTGAACGCTTTGTAATCGACATGGGCTGTGACGCTATCCAAGTCCTTGATTGTTACTGTGGTTTTCCCTCTCCTTCATGGTTCTCCATGCAAGGCATTCTCAGCTTACTGAGGCTTGTCAGCTTGAGCCCTGGCCTTCAGACTGAAAGGCTGGGCTGAAGTCTGGTTGCCTTGTTCATCTCAGCCTGGCCATCCTATGCCTTTCATAGTAAAGTTGATCTCACTTACTGATCTTCAGTACTGCATTTACCTTCTCTAGTACTGCCCATCTGAGGTCATCCCAGCAATTCATGTGGAGTATGTTAAGATTCTGAACGCTGTCCTGAATGAGGTAGGGTCTCTGGTTTATAGTGGGGAAGCTGAGGCACAGATGCATGTTGTACAAGCACACGAGTGGTAGAACCAGGGATAGAACTCAGGCCTGCTGAGCCCCCTCAAAGTGAGATTCTACTTTCCTCTTTGCTTAGGACTTACTCCATTAAGGGTTGTTCTGGCCTGTCTTAATGGTGTCGTTTAGACGAGCTATAGTTGGATACTATGGCAGTGAGGTTAGTGTACCAAAGTTGGGCTGCCAAGGTACTGACACTGAATTAGTACCCCTGCTTGATTTGCTCTAATATCATTGGGTGGAGCCTCACCGTACATGAAGAGACCCTTACTAGCTAAAATCAACAGTGAGCCATTGTGAGGATGCAGAGAGCAACCAAATCCTGGGCTGCCCTGTGTTATTTCCTAGGGACTGGGAGGGAAAACATAGCCAAGGGGAGAAGGAAATAATAAGAGTGATTCTGATTATACCCTGCAGGCCAGACACAGGCCAACTGCCCAGCCCCACCCCGCAGTTCCCTCTGTTCATGCACGGTGGCAGGATCTACTCCTTGCAGAACATCTTCCAGATAATGTGCTTCCTGAGTCGCCTGCTCTTCCACCAGGTTCAGAAGTCTATCCAACCCCAAGCCCAACCCAGGTGACTGTGTGGCTTGTTTAAGGCCTGCACAGTGGCTGTTGCTGCTTCTCACCGCTCAGCACCATGTAGCATGAAAAAGGCACGTGCTTCTTAACCTGCAGGGATCAGCGCACTGGGAGAGGAGCCCTTCAGAAGGCCGCTTAGGGGCTAGCATGCTTTTCACTATCTTGCCATCAGGGCTGCCAGCTTTCAGTGATGGGGTGAGTGGACATGCGATGTACAGTCACTCTGGAATCTGTGCCAAGCTCGTGATCTCCTGCTGCTTTTAACACCAAGAGCTCCCTTGATCACCCCTAGTTTTCAAATAATTTTCGTGGCATCTCTGCAAATGAAATTATACTTGAATGTTACACAAGGACTGGTTTTTTGTACTTACACTGCCTCACTGGTTTTATGAAGTGGGTCTAGAGGTGGGAAAGGGAATCGGCATCTAGAGTTATTTGACTGCAAGCTCTGATTCCAAATCTATTAAATGGGCTTCTGGTCCAGCAGCTCTCTTCCAGGCAGAGTTTAGAAGCACAGCAGACTCCCGACATCAGTTGCTGTAGCTCAGTCATCTCTTTCAGATCCTTTTATACTGAACTGTTCCACCCATGGCATAGATAAGTATGTGTGATCAGCAGACTAGAGCCTTCTTTCTCCCTAACCAAATAAGTTTGAGGTAGCAGGAGGGAAGCAGAAGTTATGTTATACAAAATGACATTCACAGATTTAAAACTCCTGGATTAATTCTCTTCAAACCTGGCTTTCTGTTTTTGCTCTGAAGGTGCCCTACAAGTCTTAAAATTAGCCAGGTTTCAAACAATGTGTTTCAATTATTTTTTGCTTATCCAAATATACAACTTCTTATATGCAAAAAGTTGGTTTATTTTCACGAAAAAAAGCGCAAAAGTTGCTGAACTGATTTTGCTCAAACGCTTATAATACATAAAACATTGGTCTGATGCAGCTTGGAAAATTTTCACTACAATGACGTTCTTGAAAGGTATGAATCACTGGCAAAAAGGAATTGGGGTGAAGGATAATTTTCAGTCGCTACTTTAATGAGCACTAGCTTTGCCTGCTTTCATTTTTTTAGTTAAAATTTGTGGGCTTTCTCTGTTGTTAATGTTTTATTGCCAAGTGACATCAGCCATGATTGCATCACACATTTTTAGTTTTCTGGTTTTTTAGGCAGGGTTATGTCTTCCAAATATTTTCAGATTCCCTTTTCTCAAACCTCTGCCTGCATCCTGGGTGTCTCTGATTACCTCCCAAAGAAAGTGTTAGGAAGAGGAACTAATGCAGATCCACAAAGATTACCCACTGGTATTTATCCATTTGATAACATGTAGTGCATTTGGTGCCAGATCCTCAGCCAGTGTACATAGAAGAGTGGAAATCTGAAGTGACACCCATTTACATCAGCTGAGAATCTGGGTGTATGAACAGAATGGAATCACTTGAGAAGATTGAGTTGGAAAAGCTGACTCTGAAAATGGCACCTCTGCTTTCCCCTTCAGACTTTCTTCAACGGTAATTGTTGCCTTTCCTGAGACAAAATTCTGGGGAGAGAAAGTCCACAGGGCCTGTGAAGTCCATGCAGCTACAGGAGAATGAACTGGCCCTGTAATTCCAGTTGGGGAATCTTAATTTTTGGCCATGTAAGAAGCAGGCCAAATCCAGCTGCATTATTAAGTCACAAATAGTTTCATAGTTTCTAGGGTTGGAAGGGACCTGAGTAGATCATCTAGTCCGACCCCCTGCCATGGCAGGAAAGATTGCTGGGGTAAAATGACCCCAGCAAGGTGTTCATCTAACCTCTTAAAGACCCCCAGGGTAGGAGCCAGCACCACTTCGCTTGGAAGTTGGTTCCAGATCCTAGCCGCCCTGACCATGAAGTAGCACCTCCTGATATCTAGCCTAAATCT